GGGCGGGCCCCGAGCCCTCCGACGGCGCCGGACCTCCCCTGCGCGCCAAGCCCCGCGTCCCGGCCCGCCCGCGGGCACCCAGGCTGCGCGCAAGTCCAATCCGGACACGCCCACGGCACCCCACCTCCTGCAGCGACTCCGGCACCAAGGCCGGCACGATGGGCCGCTTCACGCCGCGCTGCTCCTTCTCCTTTTCCCCACCCTTCTCCTTCCCGTTCTCCGCGTCTCCCTTCTCGGCCTGGGTCATCGCGAGCACGGATGACGAGCGGCCTCTCTCCTCAGCTTCACCACATCGATTCCCCCCAGGACGCAGAAGCTACTGGGCAGGCGCAGCCTCCAGCTTGGGTGCCCAAAACAAATATGGTCGCTGCGGGCGTCATCCAGGAGGATTCTGGGAAAGCTGGAAGGGCGGGACGTGACCTGGGTGAGGTGTGACCTACGTGGATGTTGTCATTAGTTTGGGCTGCAAAGGGCCAGCTACGTAACACTCAAGGCTTTTCGAGCACTTTCCGTGGGCTCGACTACGACTCGCACCTGGTTTCCTACTCACAGATGTGACTACTACAACACCCTCTCAAACTGACTTCCTGCTTCCAGTCTTGTTCTCCTATATGGTGTTCTTTTAGTTGTTTTTTGTTTGGGGTTTTTTTTTGTTTTTTGAGGCACTCGCTATGTAGTTCAGGCTGGCCTTGAACTCACTTTGTGGTCCAGGCTGGCCTCGAACTCGTGGCGATCCTCCTGCCTCAGCCTTCTGAGTGCTGGGATTACAGGTGTGAACTGCCATGCACACTTCTCCTATACAGTTAAACAAACGTTGTTTTAAAATACTACACAGTAAAAAGTCAGTACTATGTATCCAGCACTCAGTAAAATATTTCCAATGAGTTATCCCAAACAAAAATCAGATGTGACATCCATGCTTTATAATGATGTCTCTTACTTTCCTCCTCACTAGGACAAAATACTCAATACCCGCGTATTAAGGGCGAGATGTTTATTTTGGCTCATGTTTTAGGAAGTTCGATCCTTGCATGTTCCGTGGTATGGCAGAGGGCCTTGGAAGAAAGCTGCTCACCTCCTGGCAGCAGAGTGAAGGGAAGGAGCTAGAAGGGAGATACCCCCTACACCAAGGACCTGCCTCTTCCAACAAGACCCTTTCTTCTAATAGCAAATCAGCTATAGGTCCCCCATCATCCAATCACCTTTCAAAAGTCCCATCTTTGAGGACATGAGGCTTTGCGGGGTGGAGCATCCAGATATATAAACCAAGTTTCCTTTTGCTCATGAAACAGAATCTACACTAGCTTCCTTCAAGGCCTTGCTCAAATCCACTTCCTGCTGTGTTTATTTCGCCTCAAATCACTCTTGTTTCCTTAGCATTCCCAGCTATACTTAATTTTTTAAGCCAGCTATATTTAGTTTCTTGTTCTCAGACATACCATGCCCTCCCCCACGTAGAATTGTTTCCCTTGCTGTTTCTCCTGTGTTGGCTGCTCTTCCCTCAGCTTGGCTCATCTCATCCGGTGTGGGATGTCTCAACTTAAATCATCTCAGGTCTTTCCCAGTTTCCCTAACACCCTATTGCCTTTGAAGCATGAAGCAATAGGTTGCAATGATCTTGCCTGAGCACTGTCTCCCGGACTAGGATATAAGGTCCAAGACAAATAAGACTTAGTCATATTTGCCACTGTTACCTTCAGCACATAGTGGGTGCCCAATAAACACCTTTAAAATTAATTTTTGCTCAGTAAAGGGCTCCTTGAGGAAGGAATACCTATTTTACAAGTGAAAGAATGGCGATAAAATGATTTGTCTCCAGATTATAAACAGTGAAGTAGCAAAGACTAGATTTGAACACAAGCTACTTGAAGAGGATTAGATGTGTAAAAATGCCAGATAGAATTGAGTGGCCAGTAAACTATCTCTGTTTACTCTGCCACCACATGTCCATTTCCTGACAAATACGAACATCTATCCAAACATTTGGTCTCAAAGTTTGTTACATACTGGAGGTGGAATTATGTTTTTTCATATAAATATTTCCATTACATGTAGTTACTGCTCAAAGGCTTCAGGTAAAGATAAAATTTCTAGTCTTATACAGCTTTCCATTGTAGTGAAAAATGAAGTTAACAGCATTCAGATGAGGTTAAAAACCAATAGGTAGAATCTTAAGCAATGGTGTAGAATTCATATTTGTCAGGAGAGTGATACTGCATGTGATGGATCTGAAAGATAGAGTCCAGATTCTTATGTACAGTGAGCAGTGAATTGCAAGTGTTCACCTAGTGATAAAAGAAAAAGCAACTACATTTATTGAAGTTAAAAGGAAAGTGTGCAGGTCTGCACCAACAGAAACAAAAAGGTGGCATGCATGGGAAAAGTGGTGCTAGGACAGCAGGGTAATAGGAAGAGGGAAGATAAATCAGGCTTTTGGATTTAAAGTGTGTGCCCTGTCCTGGGTGCCCCTTCTCGGATCACTATAGATATGATTGACAGGCTGAGTTATCTCAGGGGCATTGCATAGGAATGACTCTGCTGGAGGTACCTGTACTAATAGCATTTCTTTTGGCCACTTTGAGGCCACTGGGACAAAATACCTGACAAGTTTAAAGGAGGAAAGGTTATTCTGCCCCATATTTTCAGCAGGTTCAGTCCGTGATCAGCTGGCTCCAGAAAACAACAGCATGGTGGAGGAAAGCTGCTCAGCCCTGGCAGCCAGGAAGCTCTGAGACAGATGCGGTACAAAAACACACTTTTCCAGCTCACATGCCAGTGAGCCACCCCTGCCAACTAGGTGCCACCTCCTAACAGCACATAAGCTATGAACGCATCCACTGATGAGTTCAGTCCAGTGATTCAGTCACATCCTAACAGCTCCACCTCTGAATGTGTGAGACTTTTGTGGGGACATTTTGGGTCTAAACCATAACTAAGCATTGCTTCGTGGATTTAACATATCTTAATTATGAAGGTCAGGCTTTTTTCAGCTATGGCTTTATAAATATCCTGTTAATTACATATCATAGCAAAGCAGACCCAATATATTAAAGATCCATAGGATAAACATATTAGAAACTGTTGAGCATGGTAGTGCATGCCTGTAATGCCAGCAGTCTGGGAGGCTGAGGCAGGAGGTTCACAAGTTCAAGTCTGGCCTGGACAACTTAGCAACATAGATGATTCTGTCTCAAAATGAAAATAAAAAAAGGGCTAGGGATGTGTAGTTCAGTGCAAAGGTCCTGGGTACCACAATACCAATCCCCAGTACCTCAATAAATATATTAATTCAAGAGCAGAGATATATGCATACTACTGAAATATAGCAATTTATTTATAAATGAGACCAAATGAACAGTGAACAGTGCTTCAGAAATTGAAAAAAGGGGACACCAATAGTACTAAATACACAGCCTTTTATTTATTTTCTTCAGGTTCAGAGTTTCTGTGATTTAATTATATAAAGATGAAGGGTCAGTATGCAACCTAAAAATATTTATTAAAATTATACCAATACTTTAATAAACTATACAAAAAAGACAATGAGACAAACATATGTATTTATAGAACTGCATATCAGTCAAGCCAGATCCCTGAAGAGAGAATTCCTGGCATGACCTCATTTATCTGTGAAAACACAGAGCAATCCTTGTTGAGACATACACATTCATCTACTTGTCCAGCACGGTCAGACCTCCACTTTTTGATGGTTTCCTTCTGCTATGAATGTGTATGTCTAGTTGTCTGCTTCTTACAGCAGACATTTACCTAAAAGAAAAGGTTATAATTAGTTATTAAGTTGAACCTGTCTAAAAAGTCCAACACATTACATGTTATAAAACTTTTCTAAAACGATATTTTAATGAAGTCAAAGAATTTTCAAAGATTAAGATTTATTTTTCCAAGTAATACTATTTGGAGTAATAATAAACTGTTTGGCAATTACTGTTTTTCTAAAGAAAAATTACTAAGGAGGGATTATCAAAATAAAATCCTACTAAATTTCAGATTTTAAGTTACCTTCCTCATCCACCAGCCATCGGAGGAGGGCTGGGACCATGAAGATGACTGATTCGACCCATTCTTCGGGGAGGGTTTCCTGGTGGCCTAATAAAACATAAAATACCCACTGTTTGTTTTTGGAACAGGGTTTTGATTTGTAGTTCAGACTGCCTGCTGTGATCTTCATATCTCAGCCTCTGAAGTGCTGGGATTACAGGCATGCACCATGCCTAGCTTCAATATCCACTGTTTGGTAGATAAAACTTCAATGGACTTCTTTTCACCACTTAACCACTCACTAACTACATAATCCCAAAGATTCCCCCACCACATCTTTTTGAGACAGGGACTCGCTATGCAGTTCAGGCTGGCCTTGAGCTCACTTTGTAGCCCAGGCTGGTCTTGAACTCACAACGATCCTCCTCCCTCAGCCTCCAAGTGCTGGGATTACAGGTGGGTGCCACCACTTCTGGCTAAAAGATTCTTTAAGAAATATCAAATAGGTCAAGAGTACTTACAGGGATCAGACCTATCATACATGTGAGGAAAATGAGTCAAGCAAGGAACTAGGGTGAACTACAGCACCTCCAGTAAGAGTGAAGAGGAAAAGCAATTCCAGCTAATTGCTGCCTCATGGAAACACAAGCTTCGCCCAGTGTTATTTGACTTTCATGATCTGCTGATGTTCTTATCAGCAGCTAGAAATGCAGACTGTAAAATGAAATCTCCAGACTTTAATGTGGACTGTTTTCATCCTTTAATTTAGGCTTTTCCCATAGGATATTCAGTATATATTTTAGCTTTGCCAGATTAACTTTATCAAATCAGAGGTAACTTTACTTCTAATTTACAGTAAGCTATTCATTTTGGAAAATGGGATTTAAGTTGCTAATTTTTAAAAGCCTAATTCCACCCATCTATCTAAACATCCAATGTAATGTAATACACAAAGGGGTAAACAGTTATCTAAAAAAAAGATATACCCTCTTCCATCATCATATCTGGAATCAGACGAGTTTCTGTAGCCTCTTCCCTTTTTCACATCTTGCTGAAGCAGAGTTTTGAAACTGAAACAAGGGGCAAAAACAGAGATGTCACTTCTGCCAATATTATAAAATATACTTCCACAGTCTTAACTGGAAATACAGTTGTATCCAAGATCTCTTCCTCCTGAATTTCCCCTGCCTACAAGCTACCTAACCTCACCTTGGGGAGTGAGGGGCTAAGGATGGAATTTATTATTTGTAGAAAAGGAGGACTTAATAAACAGTCAAAATTTGTAGTAAAACCCTCTTAAGTTTTGTGCTTAACTTAGGACCCTCTCTTGTCCCCAGCTATATTTTTCTATGGAACCATCTCTTTCATGTTACATTCCGCTCTT